GTGCTAATCACGCTGTCGAGTGTCGACTGCCGCCTGCCGGTAATTCTCAACTTTCGATTCCACAATTCGATTCAATCGCCGGATTCATCAATCATGGTGAATTAGAAATTAGAACCTAAGGCATGTGAACACGAACAGTTCATGTAACACGCTCATGTAGACATACCCCACGTTGAAAATTTCTATGACAGCAGAAATCTTCGCTGGACTAAGTTCTTGAATGCCGGTGCCAGGTTTTCCAACGAACAACGCTCCAAGAATCCCGGGACAATAAAACTTAAAAAGCTTATAAAAATGTTCTGAATTAATGTATCTATCCTTTAAAACCAATTATTTTTCAAGTAGCATATTTCACTATCCACTGTACGATTACACAACTGAAATGAGAAGCGTGTGCCACTCCATATGCGAACAAGACTAGCGTAACTACGCAACTGCCGCCAGCACTTGACTAGCAGCCTCGGTGTTTGCTCACTCCCCCTGCATAGCTCCAAACCGGGGTGGTGGAAACCCCCAACTAATGGGGGAGTATAATGAGTGGGGGTTAAGCACTTTATTGGCTAGCAACAAATTTTGCGCAGCGAACAGAATTAAGTCATTATATTAAATAAAAACCGTAAATTATACGACTAAGTTTTGTCATCGATGTCGTTTGAACCACTGAATATAGTTCGTCTTAATTAATTTCTTTGAAAACTAGCGAGGTACCATGATACTTACGTCGCGATGCGTCATGCCCAACATGCGCAAACCGTCATTGAATAAAACGATCATAATTCACCGACGGAATTATGTGAACCGCACCACAATATGATACAATTGTGAACCTCAACTGAAAATATTCAAATTTTGTAGACCTTGTTTGAAAAACCGAATGTACATTCCTCAATGCCTATCATCAGGCAATGCACTGTCATCACAATATCAAGCATTTTTATTCCAGAATCATTGTGACCTAAAGATTTAATAAAACATTTGTAGACCTTGAATAACCGAACATTCATCTGTTGCTTTTTTTTTGCTAATTAACAACTTACAGATTAGTCATGCATGTTATGATAAGAATTTGAAATTTATCTCTTTGAGCTACAAGCATTACGTTTAATACTGCCACGTACTTATCAAGTATTTTTCTGCTCTTGCACCCCTTAAACATATTTCCATGCCTTCAAGCAGCCTGTGGTTTATGAAGATAGCCAAATAAATTCTGATATTTTTGTCCTATAATTAATGAAATTATTATCTTACAACGCGTAAGCTCAAAAACTTGGTAAAATCAATTCTCATTTCATTCCATCGTATGCGGAGACAAACGTACGCGTGTACATACATATATTGACGCCATTCCATGAGCGAGAGATGGTCACGGTTCGCTCCAATACTAGCGTCTGACATGAGACTGCTTGAGCTTGACCAGCAGCTATTTTTGGTTATGTTTCGCAGATTCGGCCCATCGAGCAATAGACTCCGCAGTAAGCTCCTAATTTCCAGCTGAAAAGGATAGGTGGCCGATTTGAAACTGATTTCTCTCTTAGCCGAGTCGATGGCCGGGGCGACCTTGAGCGGAATCCGAAATTCGACTGGGAATACGTACCGCTCAACAGCCGCCAGAGGAAGGACCAGACTCTCGTAGCTGTCTGACTTGGGATTGGAATGTCCCTATCGAAATTCGAAGACCTGTCAGCCGCTGGCACACGGACGCCCCAAGTTCTTATGGCAGTGTAAATTAGAAGCTCTATGTCCGCTTTAGGTTCCGGTTGCCGGAGCGAAATAAGCGCCGAAATAGAATCTTATGAAATTCCTGTCGAGCTTGGGGCGATCGTGGGGCGCGCGTATTTGGTACCTGATACGTTCGGGACAGACACGGCCAAATCTGAAAAATGCGTTAAAAAATGCCCCCTCCCTTCCCCCCTTTATGGGGGAAGAAAATGGGCATTTCAATCACTGTACGTTATATTTATGTGCAGTCTATATAGTACTACTCGCTTAGTTTTAAGATCAGAGCACAGTCTATCAGAGGCTCAATTTCATGCAAAGACGTTTACAACTGGTAACTATTATGACATGGCGTGGTTAGAAATGAGGACAATAATCGCAAATAAAAAAATTCAATCGATACATCAATAGCACTGATTCGAGGTTATGCAAGTAAAGCCAATTTCTCCTATTAAATCCATGTATCCTGCTGAATGAACAACGTTTTGTTTAAAATAATCGTTGAATTATTTGCCGTTTCATGTCACGTAACTTTCGTCACATTAAACTTCTATCGAGCAAACGGTTCTGCAAGGGCCTCGAATTTCTGCGTCCATTGACGAAAGAAAGACCATACAATAGAATGGAGAAGCACATTTTAACTTAACAAAATATAATTACAGCACTAACTTGATTTCAGCTTTCAGTTGTTCACACTTCATAGCAAATTAGAATCTTTCTGCATCCATCGTAGGTTGCTGCAATGACAGTATTGAGTTTCACATGTGGTTCTTCTCACGCATTAAAGTTATCAGCTGCACTTTAAATTCCTGGAGAGACTATCAAATAAATAGCAGAATATACGATAGTTATGGAAATCCTCAATTCAGATGTATTGCTCACAGAGGGGCTCCTTGTTATCGATAGTTCATAAACTATCTTCTGCTTGAGCAATAAGCTCACGCATGCAGACATACGCCCAAAGCTGAATAGTTAATTTGTTGAAGAAACCATTTGTCTAGCAAAAAATTTTACCGTGGTCTGAAAATACTGCTTGCAACCGTTGCAAAATGATGAATAGAAGCATTTCTAACGTCTAATAGCATTCCAATATTGCTGAGCTCGATGGAAATTTCCTGAATCTATCCTCGTATAATTTGTAGTTCTTCAGAAATAACCAAATTCATCCTTATACTTAAATGTAACTCCACAATGAAACCTGATGATACAACGAAATATAGTGGATAGAACAGAACAAAAGCAACTAACTTACTTGAGAATGATCAGTATACGCTCTGCAACCTGTTCCAGCCAGTTCATCTAGCCCGCCTAGTGGTGTCGAGTGTTGTCTGTCGGTTAGGTAGCATCGTAGGCAATGATAAACTTTCGAGTTTCGACTACACAAATAGATCCAGTTGACGTGTTGATTTAGAAATTAGAACCTTGAGCATATAAACAGGAGCAGCCTAAATAACATTCTCGTGTCGACATGCCCAAAGTTGAAAATTTCTACCGCAGCTAAAATCTTGAACACACAAATGCATAGTCATGATGAATGTCGCCTGCCACCGAGAACTTGAGAAGTACCTATTGCAACGAACTGATCAAATAACAACTGATTTAAGCATATTCCGCATGAAATCTCTTATTGTCGAAAAAAGAACTTGCATCGTATAATTGCTGCGTTTTGAAAGAAGTGATTGTGAAAGATACACCATACAACTACATCTTATTAATAAAATACTCGTAGGAGAAACTAACAATTTTTCCTTCATAATTTTAATTTTCCAGTCAAATACGTCATAATTTAAGGAAGACAACACAATCGAAAAGTGAGTGTTAATCTTAACAAAGTCAAGTTACTGCAGTAGCTTGATTGCAGTAAACAGCCATCCGATCACACTCAACAGGAGTCGACTATTTTTTTTTTTTTGCATTGGAAGAGTTGAGATCTAAAATTAAATTATTTCAAGCTTTCAAATTATCAACTGCACTCTAAATTCCTGGATTGATAACCAAAATTATAACGGAATATACAATAGCCTAGTAATGTGAAATCAAATAAGTTGCTCACAAATTGGATCCCGTTTAAACACGTTCACCCTGCCTTCTTGTACGCGATAGTTCACTGCCTTCTTGTACGCGATAGTTTACATCGATACGACAGCTGGGGCAGCGAAAATGTTCTTGTACCGCACTGGACCAGTCTTCAGAGGTGGTCGGAAATTACGACAAACGTTCTTATGCAATCTTCATAAATTAGGCTGTTGGCCGTAGGGATGCTTAAAAATTTTAATTTAAAGCATATCTGCAAGAGCTACATCTTTAGCCGCTCAAACAGACATATACTCGAAGCTGAACATTTCTATTGTAGCCACTAGCCATCATTATTTTGTGGGCTTGAAGAACAGTAATCTCCAAACAATTCGAAATCAAGGACTTCCACAAGCACTCAAAATATTCATTTTCATCCTGTTCAATGTCTACAAGTGCAATGGTATTTACCATCAAATTGTTTAAAGCTCTCTGAAGGAGACAAAGCTATAATACCTTTTCGATGAGCAATGAGCACTCTTCACTACGTACTGATCGATTCACGGTTTGTTCTAAACTGGCGCCTTCTTATTGCTGCAACGGCTAATGCTCTGTCCGGATGGGGGGTGCGGGAGGTAGATCCCCACACACCCGCATACCCCCGTATGGCGGGAACTTCGATGGTTAGTGCGTTTACTGTATTCAGCCTCTGACCAGCCCGATCATGCGGTAGCGTCATCAGCGTTTGACCAGGGGCATCATGACGAAGCTTGACCAGCTGCTCTTTTTAATCATATTACGCAGATTTGGCCTACTGGGCAATTGACTTCCAAAAGAGGCTGGTAAATAGAAGCAAAACACCCTACGTGGCCGACTTGCGCCTGATTCACCCCTAAGCCGAATATAGTTCCTCTAAAACGACCTTAGTCGGCACGAAAATTTTGACAGGGGTAGGATACACAAATGAGGACATTAAGAAGCTGATTTACTATGCTCCCCGAGTCTTAGACGCTCCCTAATTCAGAGCCGCCCTCGGCTCTAAATTTTGTTAGGGACTTTGCTCGATGATCCATACTTCGTTTGATTTTCAAGTTACCGTCCTTTCCTCTCTGCAATGCTGAAACTGATACTCTTTCGTCTGCTCCCTTAAGACCCCTCTCCACTTGATGTGATGAATAAATTTTCATTTTCGAAAATGTGTTTATTTTCTCCTTTAGTCTCCTAGACTGTACCTGTGGTACTAGCGTCTCAATTATTGCATTTATTTTCAGGGTTCGAGGTGTCAAGAATTTACGAGTCATAGACGCTTCTGTAATGCCCTCCATTACATCAGGTAATGAAATATTCTTCTTTCCTATTATATCAATTTTCCAAGCATACATAATTTGAAAATCTTAATTTTGTTTGAAAAAATTGTTTGGAATTTTGGATGTATACTTTTTCATACTCAATTGCAAATTAACAAGCTATTGGTTTTCAATTATTTATTCTAAAACTCCGACTAATGAGACAAGACTTTCTATCCACTGCAGGGCACATAAACGCCGTCACATTCATGATTGGGGAGAAGGGAGCTGATCTCATCAAAGAAGATTACGGCAAAATCTGATCGCCATTTAAGCTAAACAGTTTATTTATCATTAGTTTTTTTACGTCAATCAAAATAATCCAGTGTCTGCCTTCGTATTTTAATGCTTTCTAAGTTTGAAGGGAAAAGAGTGGTGAGTCCAGGTGTTACAAGCGGCCTACTCGTGTCGTCTTCTTCTCCTCAACCCGTCATGAAACAATCGATAATGAAAAAAGACTACAGAATTAACCTGTAAAATAATTCTCAGCAAATTCACGTTTATCTCGCCGCGTTTGTCTTAACTACTCGATTGAGGTCGGTTTTTAGTTTGAGAGGCATACTTTTACAAAGTCAAATACGCATGATTCGTCCGTATCATTAGTAAATCATCTCTGCTCATGTTAGTTTACGTCTCATGTATCTCGGTACTTATCAAGCTATAATTTTATCATAGATGCTCGACACACGGCGTCTTCTATGCAATGGTAAACTTCGGTATTTAGTTCTTGTTTATCATGAGCCACTACGTGGGCAGTAGTAAAAGCAGTAGGAATTGCAAAAAACAAATTCGAGTTACCATTAAATGTTTGCTTCATAATTTAACCATTATAATAATGATACCGATTTAACGCAAAAATTTTGTAGCTCATTTTTTGTAGACTTGGTTACTGCGAGCAAAATTCACGCAGCCATTTCAGAAGTCGCTACTCTCTTAAATAACAAAAACAACATAAAATTTATTCAATTTGATATGAAGTTACTTAATAACGCTCGTGTGGCAAGTCTTGACTGCGCAACGTGGAGAATAAAGACAGCGAGTTGAGACTAGTGTTTCAGAATCTTTCAGGGGTGAGAGCTCAACTACCAAGAATTTCGTACGATATATTTGTTTCTATATAGGTAGAGTGTGGGAACAAGTAGAATGCACGAATAAGTAGAGAGGGAATGAGTAAGTGGGAATAAGTTAAGTGTATCAATGACCAGTGGGAATAAGCAGAGTGTGGGAATAGGTAAGTAGAGTGGGCAAACAAGTAGAGCGGGAGAATGTAAAGAGTAGGGGTGAGTAGTGTGTGGGAATAAGTAGGGTGTGGGAATAAGAAACGCATGAGAATAAGTAAAGTGAGAATAAGCAGAATAAGTAGAGTGAGGGAATAAAAAGTGTAGGAAAAATTATAGTGTGGGAATAAGTAGAGTTTAGGGATAGTTAGAGTGTGGGAATAGGTAGAGCCTGAGAATAAGTAGAGTGGGAATAAGAAGAGTGTGAGAATAAATAGAGCCTGAGAATAAGTTGAGTGGGAATAAGTTGAGTGCGGGAGAGGACTATAGGACCAAACACTATACCATTATAAGCGTACGTATAATTTGGGATTGCATGGCGTGAGTGACGCGTTATATGCACTGCCGGCCTAAATACCGGGAAGGTATCAGAATGAAACTGATATTTGGGCGTTATTTCGACAGGGGACTCAATGCCGGAAATACTTAAAGTTAATCTATAATGAATTTGATATGATGGGACAGTTCATGCACATACCATTCTCTCTTAATTCCCATTTGTAAAGCAACGATAATAAATTTCGAATGTAGCCGAGTATACAATGTCATTAAAATTATGATTGATCCTGATGATCGATCATTTAACGATTACTTAAAAGCTTTGAAATACGAGTAAATTTGGGCACTGCAATATTACTGCAAGTGAAATTGAGTGGGCAAATTTTAATTTCTGATCATAAACCATAGTTTTAATGTACAAATTTGTTAGCCGGTTTAATAGTGAACATATATGTTCAAGTAAACTTCTGTGAATACTGAATTGTAAATGAATTTTTTAACGTGCGAACATCTGCAATACTAGCATAGGTCTCTTTGTTGAAGCAAATGCGAAAGTAACGCGCAAAAAATGGAAGGTCACATAGAAATCATTTTATGGGCCCACTGTTATTCATTTGTCCACGCCAATCTTTGCACAGGTTATTTACTAGCGAAATTCAGTAAATGAATTGTGACAATGTAATTTTTTTCACTTATATGTCGCCTTCCTCTCAAACCTTCAATTTTCCAAATGCATGAATCGAATGAGAATATTAAACATCACCTTTCATTCGTCTGGACGAAGTTAACAGAACGAAGCTATGTTGCAGGGTGACCCAGTGGTTAAAGTTCAGAGTACCAGATTGGAGCAGAGAGGCGCGGGTTCGATCCCAGCTCGTTGCGACAGTTTCTGGTCAGAATCGCCAAGGAGGCCGGGCGGTTAAAAGTAAAAAGAAAATTTGAAGCAGGGACTTGCGAGTTCAAGCCCGCAACAAGCTGTGGATGTTCTGCAATGTTAAGAATCGGCGACAGGCCTACGGCCTAATAAACGCTGAAACCGCTATATTTGTGCTCCAAACAGTTTTGAATGATTTTCCGAACTTTTTGAGGACTTACGCAAACTTATTATTTAGTTTCTAATGCAACAATATTTTTTTATCCCTATCTTAATGTAAATTTAAGATTATTGCCTCGAAAACCTACGTTATTTGTGTTTTTGTCCTATCATTTTATTGTACATGGTAAGGGCATTTTATGTCTCAGTTTAAAATCACTACCAAGTCGGCTACACATTTGCTAGAGCATTCAATAAAAGTTTTTGTTTTTCAAATGTATACTCATGAACCCTAATTGCTTACGTTGGCATGGTTTGTCTTGTAGTTTGCATAGTTTTTGGTTTACGGTTCGCATATTCTTTCGTTCGTGTTTCGCATATTTTACTGTTCATGAATCTCATGTTTTTTTATCCTGCTGGTATAAGATGATCAAGACCAATGCGTAAGATATGAGGCAAGGGCGTGTTGGAGTTGCGCGGTGCCATTGAACAAAATTGTTCCAGTTTTTGCTGATCATAATTCAATGATCAGACGAGGTCCGCACGCGTACGCAGTCTTGAAAGTTTCCTGAAAATTTCTGCGCAAGCAATTCCATGTTTGAATTGACAACCATGAGCGAAGGCAGTGCTGCACGCGTTTTTGTTGCTGATAAAAAGTCAATACAATTATAAATTGAAAAGGAGTTTCAATGAAAGAGTCCACAGTGGAACAACGAATACTCTGCAACATTGGTGTTCATGTCAAAAATAAGTTATTTAATGTTTTTAAATATTCCTACTTATATTCTTGTCTCAAACGCGACTTCTGGTGGCTGAAGATAAAAAAAATTTATTCAGCTGATATGTTGAATAGGATGAAAGGCTAAAGGCATTTATTTCATTTGTTAGAGTAACTTTCAAGGCAGCAAATTAAATACAGTACTAGTAAGATGCTTACATGATTAATCAAAGTTCCGAAAATTATAGCCGCTGCCCTTTCACCAATAAACCAACAAAAAAATTCAAAGAATCCCATTTTTTAGCGAGCTGTTTCAGGCCTCTACTTTCGCCCAATCTTGTTCTCAATTCTTTTCCTACGATGCAGTGAAATTCACTTGCACATGAAAATGTTACGCTGACACGCGCGGAAAATTTTCTAGATTCGGCGCAGAAAAGTTAATATGTGGATAATAAGTCTTAAGCGACGTGAGGATGTATAGCTACCAGAGCTGTCTTAGATCATGTAATTAGCTTCAATAAAATACAGTGCCTAAAACTGAATTTTGAAGTAGACCTAGTGAGAGTCTCAAATTGAAGTACGATTGTGTAACTACGTACGCAACAGTTGTGTAATATTTTACTTGCTTGTCCAAATAGGCTTTAGAAATCCCATTAAAACGTTTGGACCGTCTACCCTCCAAAAAACTTCTACAGTTATCATCCGATCATCATGAAACTTCACATACATACGTAAAGTATAAAAAATAACATTTTTCTCCTATGAATTTTGCGAAAAAATTGATAGAAAACGTGAAATTCATTGAAAACGGCAAAAAATCGGGTACTTTAGAAAATCTATCTCCTACAAATATCGTCCAACAACATGGAGACAGGTATCATTCGATTCGTAAAGACCATACCTATCGATTCAAAAATGGGTTTTTTCATTTTCCCCATAGTTTTTTTATGCGAGTTTTTCCAATTTTTTTACTTTTTTTACTTTTTCCCTTCTCCCCCATATAAAAAACGAACCAGACAGAAATTCAAAAAAGTGATGTTCAAATCGATAGGTACCTATGGTCTTTACGAATCGAATGGTATATGTCTTATTGCTGTAGCTTTAAAACTCTTGGAGGAGTGAGAGCAGTTGGAGGTTTACAACACTCTCAAAAAACTGCCGCGTGGGACGTAAACGGACGTAAAAGAGTCGTAACGTAGCCTAGATACCGTAATTAAGCCTCAAACCAAGTCAGCGAGGCATAGAGCGACTGGCAGCACGCATCCCAGCTCGCTGTCATGATGGGCACTGAGTGTGTTGGCCGCTACCCGCTAAGCCCGCTATACGCGATATTTGTAGTGCTACTCTCGAATTATCTCCCATTCAAATAGTGAAGGCTGCCCCCCACCGCCCTCCATTCTGCGACGCGTCTTGCACGTCGAAATGCAGGTAGAGAGATGGTTCTGGTACCGTTCGACGCGTCAGAAAGTAAGCTTTAAAATGAGTATAAGCACCGGGTAATGCCATAATTAGCCGCTTTACGTCAGACGTTTCTTTTTAGTGTGTCCAGCCTTCTAATTAATCCCATAGACTTTACTGAAGGGGCCTCGAAACCGCCCCATTTAGGGAGCTGTCACGAAATCATTTTTCGACGTAAAGGGATGATTCTGGTACCGTTCGATGCGTCAGAAAGTAAGCTATAAGATGAGCGCAAAAACCGGAAAACGCCAAAATTTGAAATTTTAGGGGAGACGGTCCCCTTAAATGTTTGAATGACTACATTTATTGGATTTGACAGATATTATGTTGATTCGCTAAGATTTAAAAGCACTTGTAAAAAAGCAATTTCGTGATGTTTAACATAGTTTTACTCCCTTGTGGCTTTAGTATATGGTCCCCGCTTTAAAGAATCATCGATTTTGTAGGTGTCATGACGAAGTTGGAATAAAGTTATCACTTAACTAGAATAATAAAATCTGAGAAAATTAAACAATCTAATTGCGTAACTTACGTATATCACTGAGTATTTCGGTTGAATTAATATAATAATCGTTTGCACTCCGATCGCAATAGTTTGGGCACTGTTCCTAGCATCGGCGAGCTGACTCACATTCAGCTGACCTTCAAATTGGATAAACATTGAGATCTCTGGACGTGTTTTTCTACCGTAAACGTATCAACAATCCAGCAGGCAATGCCAGGTTGAATCAACGTTGAAACAACAAAACTCAAGACGTCGATATAACGTTGAATATTAGTTTAGAATGAAAATTGAAGCAACGTAATTTTTTCAACGTCGTACATTCCGACGTTAATTCAACGTTGAATTCGCGTAAAATTCTGATATAAAATCGCATATATTTATTCGCGATCTTATCGTCAGATATCAACGCGATTTTACCGTTGCAACAACGCCGAAATGAAAGACGTTGAAAAATGGACGTTGCTTCAATTTTCATTCTAAACTAATATTCAACGTTATATCAACGTCGTGAGTTTTTGTTGTTTCAACGTTGACCAATCGGACATTGCGTGCTGAGAAGAGATAATGAAAACGCGGTGGAAATCCCATTAGAACCCTATTAATAGTCTTACATGACGTCCTTGAATGATAAGACTAGGAAACACTATGTGTCAATTACATTCAATAAAGATACAGCGTACCCAGTCATAATACAGAAGTAGCAGTCGGTTGCCCACTCTCGTCTTATAGAGATCAATCAGGGGTGAAATGGCCGCCTTCCCTATCCAGCCGCCCATTAGGAGCCACTTTGGGTAGTTCCATGGTAAAAAAATAAGGTTCAATTGACACACGAAATCAGCGGCTGGTCAGGCTACCATTGACTTACCCTGCTCAGTAGCTGGCATGAGTTCTAAGCGCGAGCGTAACAAGCCCCTGCCTTTAGTACTGACGCTGCATGTGCATTGTACATGGGTACGAATTTATCAACACGCGAGCGTATCAATACTTCTGCATTGCGTGTACGTCAACATGTTTGCGTTGCGTCTCTGTATGTCATTGCGTGTACGTAACACGCTTGCATTGAGTGCGTTTTGCTTACGCGAGAGTTGCGTGAGATTCATAACGCGTGCAATGCGTGCCTGTCAACGAGCGTGTTTTGCGTGTACATAGAAAAATACGAGGGCATTGCGTTATCTTCAACACGCTTAATTACATCCCAGTTAAAATTTTGAGCCGAGACCGGCGCCGGGTTTAGCCGGGCTGGTCGCGCTTTAGCAGGATGGAGCCGTGAAACTATAACCGGCCATCTATCCCTAAAACTGCGCTGCGCCATGGCTGATTTAGAGACAAAAATTCTAGCAGCTCGGCAGGGACGGAACTCTCTCTAACAGAAACGTTGAAGGTCATTCACGCTTTGCTAAAGCGAGATCTCAATCAGTTTATCATGAGAAAGTTTTCTAACATGGATATACAGAAAACGCGTTAATAACAGTAAATGTTAGAGCAAAGAAAATACCGAGGTCTCCGAAACGTTTTAATTGGAGATATCGTGAATTTATTTGGCGCTTTCTTTGCATTAAAACTCTTGGAGAACTTGCGATTTCAGTAGACTAATGATTTGCGTACGTTGTTAATTTTCCTATCAAACTATCGAATGACATGAAGCTAATGCAATAAGATAAATTACTAAACAAATTTAGCTCTAATACTCACTTACATCTGACGGGATCATACGAATGGCTACTTTGTTCATTTTTTAAATTAGTGCATTATGAATAATATCTATCAAGTTCAACCACAAATATAGCTATTCCTCGATTTGCTAGATGATGGCGAGTCATTTGTTCTGTATTATAGTTAAGTAGTTCATAGAGCCTAGGCTGGTAAGGTGTCCGCGCGGTCAACTGGTACAGGCGTGGAGTACGACGCGGAGAATCTGCGTTCGAATCCCGGATCTTCAGTCGACGTTTGCAGATAGTTCATAGCGGTGAGTAATTTGATGTGTATATTTCCTCGATAATTGAATTTGTTAGATTCTAAATTACGTTGCTAATATCAATACGATGAGAATGTCAGTAACCAATGTCAATACAACCAGTCATTGCATGAGAGAAGTCTAGGTGAGCTCAGCGAGAGAAGGAACAAATTTTTTTAAATCGTTGTTGACAAACGGTGAGGCGTAACTGCCGCGTACACTGCCAGAGCCGCCCCAGAGCAGGCGTTGGGCAGGTTTGAGCAGGCGGTGCTCAGTAAGGGCTGCGTGACGGCAGGACAGAGCACACCTGGGCAGGTACTCAGAAGCTAATTAGCGCTGATACGCGGCTGGCGATATCGTCTCTAAAGCGGACATTTCTGCTCTATCGCTGCTCTGTCGCGTCTCTACGTCGGCTCTGCAGCCGGCGACGGCCTGCTCTATTCCCTGCCCTAAATTTTAACTGGGATTACTTTCATGTCAATAGATGTGCTACTAGTGCCCGCCGACAGGCGTTTTCAGCAGCGCATGCGTGAACAGCGTCAATACGCGATTTAACGCGAACATTGCTTCTCTGTTAATACGCTTGCGATGTGCGTATATGTAAAACAACACGCGTGCATTTTAGGGGGGCATTTTTTAACGCATATTTTAGATTCGGTCGTGTTTGTTCCATGCAAACGTATCAAGTACCAAATACGCGCGCCCCGCAGTCGCCTCACGGTTGTCAAGGAATAGACCGATTTCTAATCAGGTGCATATTTCCCACGTACAACCAGAACCTAAAGCGGACATAGAGCCGCTAATTTACACCGCTAGGCGAGCTTGAACCGTCCTTGAGCCAGCGGCTGACTGTAATAAAAATTTTGATAGTGTATAATGCCGAAGATTAGTCCTCATGAAAATATAAATAAGTTCGTTCAATTAAGACTGCTCGATCTTCGTTTGGTCCATTGTGTTATAAATATTCTTCTAATTATTCTTCTCCTTAAAAGATGTGGTTACGCCGATGTTCCGGAAATGTTCCGGATAACACTTCTTACCTATTGAACAAAAGATCATCGATATTATACGAGATAAAGAATATAACTAAGAAAAAGTGTGGCTTGGTAGGTCTTGCAGCTTTAATAGCCAGAAATACGACCAGTTTTTATCCGTGCGAATGCATTCGCGCAAGGAAGGTTTGCCGCGAACGCTACAAGGCTATTCTGTTTTTAAAAGGAACAATCAAGAAGTTGCGTTGCTTGCTACATAGTTCGGTAAAATTTAGCACACCAGCTGACGGTTTCGTTGAAGGAGTCGTGATATCTACGCGTCATAAATGTGTGCGTGGAGCAGAAATGGTTAAGCCTTTGGTTAAGTCAAATATAGGTTGCAAATTATTTTCATCTTGCGGCTATAAAAATCTTCACTTATATTTCGTCGATGAGGTAAGCATTGGTAATAGATTAATTAGACCCTGAAAACAATAAGGCTGGTAAAACCTTTTTGCTTGGATTCTCCGAAAAAAGGCTTAGGAGAAATTAAATGCGGATGGGTACATTGAAATGCAGAGGAGTACAGCAGCCAATTTGGTACATAGATTAAAAAAATTATCAACAAGCATAGCTGAGTTCATCATAACTATGAGTGGGCCCGACGCTCTTTGAGGTCCTTGTTATGCCTTTTTTCTTGGGTTATTGTATTTTAATTTTTTATTATTTATTTTTTAAAGACAAATTATCCTTATTAAAATCATGAGAAATATAAAATATAATTCATGCCAATTAAAGAAAGATCAGGGTGCGCTTGTGTGTTCTTTAACCCCACGAATAATCACCGTTCATGAGTTGGTTTGACTTCTAAGCATGCTACCTGTAAGATTTTTGTAGATCATTGTAGATTAGTTATACGATGTATGGATTTAAATGCACTGTCAGCACCGTGATAGAATACTATTGGAAGTCCATATGGATTGGAATAGGCTGCAATCTCGTTCCTTGTTCTAGAGCACAAAGTGCAGCATAATACACAACTAGAGCACAGAGTACAGCATAATGCACAACTAGAGTACAGAGTGCAGCATAATGCACAACCAGAGCACAGAGNACTAGAGCACAGAGTGCAGCATAATGCACAACTAGAGCACAGAGTGCAACATAATGCACAACTAGATCACAGAGTGCAGCTTAATGCGATAAAAGCTGAGACTTGTACTCTCTACCGCTCTCCTCCCAGTCTTCCCTAGCTTCTACGATCTTTATGACTGTCCAATGCACAGCAGTATTTCGACGTTCAAGCTAGCATGATTGCGTGTAAAATATTCATTAAAATTGCACTTAGCAAACGTGTGTTTAATCTCGAGATCTCAGAGTGTTGGTGAGTATAGTAGCCGCGCATTCGATGATCGCATCGAGGAAACAGTCACGCGAAGCAGATAATGGATGGATTGGATCTGGCGGACATTTCGAACGAGAGAAGCAGCACCAATGATTACACTCTTTAGAGCCATCATGCTCCCCAATCCTGCATGAGTACTGCTGTCAGCTTTGGGCGCTCGTGCGACATTCAATAGACGATTGGACAAGTGGTAGAGAAAGATCCCGAATTGCCCTGTTACGGAAAACTACCCTTCAGCAAGTGACAAAAAACAGCATCTTGCATCAAGTGGCCCAATGGAGGGCAAATAGACGGAACACGTTCAGCGCTTTATCCGGGACCCGAGGGCGGGGGGGACTTGACTTGGATATGGAGACGGAGGATGACGAAGGCGGCGCATCAGCATGACCGTGGACTACGCAAACCTTAACTCATCATTCGGCCATATGGTTATAGAAAGCAATATATACTACAAACTTCCACGTTCGGAAGATAAACTAACTAATTAACCGATATGTTTCAAGTAGGTGAGTTTTTTAAACTGAATTTACAATGAAGTAGCTCGAATATTCCCATAATACGTTCAGTATATTTGTGTAAGGTCTATGACCTTATAAAGTACAACATTTGCCATTAACTCTAATTAAGAAACTGTGTATAGTAAAATTTGCTAATATCACCATATTCTTCACCATATTCTGCAGACAAATTTTACTAATAAACGCAATTGCTAATCAACCAATCCCATTTTTCGGAGAATAATTCAATTTAATTAACGTTAATTAAATTTCGATATTCACTGTTTTTCCATCCGAACTCCAAACGCTCATTTTTTATGTGCCCATTTTTATTTTCATCTTTTAAAATATTCCAACCACAAACCTTGCCTAACTAACTTTGAGTGGATCAAATGTACTGAAACTACGCAAATGACGCTTATAACGATTATTTTTTCGGCCATATACGTGAACCCACGATTAGAATTTCGATGCTATGTTGCTAGTGTGTCGTAAAACTTACTTTTTATTTTTAAATATTGAAATAGAAATAAATCTCCTATGTGTTTACCGTTTCATAATTTTGATTACTCTATAGTTAAAAAATTATACACAATTGTCTTCATTCAAGAATAAAAATGAAGACTCATGTGGCTGCTACTTTTAAACCAATTACCAAGTTTCCTCTGAATGTTGAGTGCGGCACCACCCAATGGTGGGTTGCAGCCTCACTTGCAGGGTTTTTTTCCGGACAAATTCCGCAGTTTAATTTGTTTCAATTGATAGTCGACATAACCCATTATTTATTTGTAATCTAAATTTATTTGCATTCTATATTTATTTACAATCTAGAATTATTGGCAATCTAGATTTATTTCTAATCTACATTTATTTGCCAGTAATTTGCATTCAATGATGGTTATGAAATAGCTTCAATGCAGCTCTTTCATTGACCGTGATTGTACGAGCATTTATTAGTATGCAGGTTAGTGCTTAGTTTTCTCGATCAATCGAAAATAAAGATTGTATTGAAAAATTATGCTCAAAGTTCCCATTTCATTATCATTAGAATCAGTGCGATAGTGAAATTAAGTAGATTGCTTGGATTAACAGAGCAATGCAATACAAGTGTTTCTTACACAGACGTCTTAAATAATGAAAGAATTTAGTTTTGGCTCTAATTTGACATGTGGAGCAGTGCCAACAAATAATTGTAACATAATCTGTAGATGCACAAATTATATCAGTAAAAATTTTAATTATTTAATTATAACTTATAAGAAATTTTTCTGTAGTCATTTTCAAATAATTTCAAGATTTTTCGAATATGTAGCGTTTCTATCTCCTAAAAAGATATTTCTCCACTATACATGCATCCTCTTATTCTAACGCTTATTTTTACATTAGTTTGGCCAATATACATACGTATAAAACTGGTTCGTCACACTGACGCTGGACGTTCGGATTGTGAGGAAAATTTTGTCTGCGCGCCTAGGATTTCCCTTCTTTCGGCGGGCAGGAAACAAGTTTTTGTCGACTGTCCCCGTGTGGCTATAAGAACGAGTCATACCTCACGCCCATTTGATTGTTCAAGCGGAATTGGTGAACTTTACTTCGGTTGTACGAGTCGGTCAGAAAATCTCAATTTAGAATAAATAAATAAATCTGAATTCTGCGGTAGCGTGGCATTTTCGAGAAAACTGTTTTTGTAGTTTATATCGAACGTGTGCATTGAATCAAAAATGACTAAATTTTCTGTTGGGAATCTTCTCGCTGCATTCACGGCCATACTCGCAGGCACCTTTTTTCCGCCCGTAAGATATCCTACGAGTGTCATGCCTGATGATATCATCGTAGACTTCATAGTCGGTGAGTTGAATAAATTCATTATTATGAATTGGAACATCTGCTTGTAGAACTAATCAATAATTCGTTCAACAACAAATTCTCCTCAATATTTCTGCATTTAAAAATTGCTGGGGGAGGTCAATCCCATGCGTTTTAGGGGTGGAATAACTCCGAGTTATTTCGATATAACGGAAGAGTCTTCAATGTTGCCTTATAAATAGTAGCAGGGCTCATGAAAAATCAAAATTAGTATTATAAAAATTACTTTTCATCACGTTAACCGTTTCCCATTGTCAAAGAAAAACTTTAGTTTAGAATTCTAAACCTCACAAAGTAATTAGGACATATTAGGAGCAGTGTTTTAATTCAATAAATTTCTTTCTTCTTTAAATTACTGGCAAGAAAAGGTAGGCAGAATAGATTTTTAAATCATTTTCGTCGAGTTAGATGAGAGTAATTTCAATGAGCCTTTCTGAAAAATTTGTAGGACATCATTTTTATCGATTTTATCAGACGATGAAGTTTGATAAAATTGATAAAAAAACGTTATTTGCGATATGATTTTGCTATTAAATCGAACGATCTATAAACAATGCCTAATGTTTGCCGTCTGTCAAGGATTTAATCGAACAAGACATCTGTTTAAAATATGCAGGGATTCAACAATCCTTAAGGCTCTGATTGAGAATCGCGAGGGTTCGAACAGGCTCGGCTCTTCCTTATGAGTTTCTTCACAAATTAGTCTAGACTTTACTCCACTCATAAATGAGATGGCGATATGAATTTTTCCATACTTACCCAGTTATTTATTTATAAACGGTGGGCAGGAACAAAAAATATTCAAACATTGTATTAAAAGAGTTATAATGAAAGGAAATATCACTAAACTTCAAAAATATTATTGTTCATCAATTCTGCAACTTTTTACACTTTTTCGAGATGTCAACGGGTTGTAATTTATTTTCTCCATTGAATGGTATACTCGGTATTTCTTGTTCAGGCTCCTTGTTGTAGATATTATCTACCAAATAAATAGTTATGATCGAGCATGCTGTTACGAGGGAAAATTCCTCATGCTAACGGTTCAAATGCAGGCGTGGTGGAAGATATGAGGAGGAAAGAGACGTCGTAAATTACTGAGCTGTCAGTTCACGACGGGTGGCTTGGTGAATGCGAACAAAATGAGGGACGAGAAACAATACATGGCCAGTGGTCGGCCTGGTCCAATTAGTAATAGCCTATCGCTGGCCATTCTTCGGCCACCTGAAAGCGACCAGTTGCCGCAAGAAAGGAGCTGGCCAGGATATCATATTACAAAGACTACAAGCTCATGAGTAGAAACTGGCCGAGCTTCGGGCAGATCAAGGATTTCACACGATGGTCGCGAAAACCTCGTTCTCAGACTTTGTTGCAATCTGACTACTAGCCTTAATCGCCAAATCTGTGTCCTGTATGAGGGAAACCCCAGGCTTAGAGGTTAGTTTACCCTTATGGCCGACGTTAAGGCTGGTAGTCACCGTGCGGCGAAGTCCGAGAGCGAAGAATTCGCGACCTCGATGTGGAACCCTTGTTCTATTGTCAGATCGGCAGGTTGCCGATGGTTGTTGTCAAGTTTGTTGCCTCTGTAATATGATATCTGAGCCAGCATTCATCAATTGGGGCTACGGGCGGCTTTCAGGTAGCCGATGAATGGCTTGCAGTCGGCTACAGCTAACTAGCATCCGCCGATCACTGGCCATCTATTATTACTCGCCACTCATTGTGCTCACCTACACCACAAAGGTGTTGGTAACATATCACTTATAGATGGTATGATGAATGCTGCAAACTACCAGAGCATCCTGGAAAATAATTTGACGACTTCTGTTGAGAAACTAGAAACCCGAAAAGTGAACATGTTGCATTGTTTTTTGTTGCATTGAGATTTAATTTCTTTTGATAGTATTTTTGAATACTATGCGTCTCTAAACATAATTTAAATCACTTTTCCTGTTATGTTTGTGTACTTACATACATTAAAATACGATTTTTCAAGTGTACGAATATTTATTTCCCCCCACTGTATATTTTTCACGAAACATTGCCTGATAAATACGCATTTTTTTGTCCGCTTGAAATTTATTATAGATCCTTTTGATGTTTCAAAAATCTAAATCGATTTAAACCATGAATTGGAAAGTATAAATTATAGTAGTAATACAGAACGCTTGCTACATCTATCAACATTCATCTGGTTCTTGCAGTGGGCTCAGGCTCGACGGGAAGTGTGGTGGCTGGTCGGCTGGCCGAGATTTCGGAATGGGATGTGCTGGTTTTAGAAGCCGGAGGACAACCTCCAGCTTTTGCCAAAGTTCCATTCCTCCACTTCGGCACAGATTTCACCAACACTTCATACGTGAACTATTACAAGAAGCGTCCTCAGAAATATTCTGAGCAATTCGCGAAAAATATAGTAAGAACTTGGAATAATATGAAGTTTTTTATGATATTTAATTTTCTAGGTAAAAACCCCAATTTTATTTTCGATTCCGAAACTTAATTCATTCGACTCTGATTTGCCGTTTCCCTCTTATACATAAAAATGACTGTGGTAAATAATTTTCACTACGGCAAAAAATTACCGGAGCATTTTTGGACAGTCAGATGGCATCAAGAGGTTGATCTATTGAAGCCGCAAACGGCTTGTGGTCGTGAACTTTCGAATGGGTATGATGGTTGATGAGGTGGTTAGGTTAACGATGAAGGTTATGGGATATGAGTAATTGTTATGATGGTGTGGATATGGGGATACGGGGGATTCTGGGGTATGAGGATACGAGGGTATGGGGAGACGGTGATATGAGATACGGGAACATGGGGTTACGGGTATGCAGGGACACGGGGAAATTAGATACAGGGATATAAGGCATTGGGTATATGGGTGACCGAGGTTAGGTCCTAAGCCTTCTACAGGGTGATTCAAGGAAACTTCCTGATTTGAAAGCTTACTACTAAAGAAGTAGTAAAGATATCAGTACAATATAAATTTTATTGAAAAATACACTACCTGATATTTTGTATCACTTAGTTTTAAAGATTACATCGGACAAATGTCGGCTCTCATTGTCAATGCATTCAGTTAGTCGTTTTTCTGAGTGCCGTTCAACTTTAGTTTAGTATTAGTAACAGCTATATAGTGCACTGCTCAACACGAATTGAAAAGAGCCTCATTTGCAAACAACAACAGGCCACATTTACGCGCAGCTTGTTCGTTGAATGATTGCATAGCAAACTGTGCAGTCTATTTTACTTTTCCATTTAGGGAGGCCTGTACATGAGAGGAAAAGTGATTGGCGGCTCAGGCACCATCAACCAGATGATGTATCATCGCGGTATTCCTCAAGATTACGAGAACTGGGCAACGCAAGGTAATCCAGGCTGGGATTATAAAACTGTCCTGAAGTATTTCAAGAAAACTGAAGACTACCAGGGTCCTCTCAAGTCCCGAGATGGTGAGGAAAAGACTAATCTTATTGCTGAAAAACTTAAATCACGTAGAAATTTGAAATAAATTAAATTTCGATTGAATTTCGTGTATGAATTGGGTTTCTTTTCAATAAAGAGGTGGATTACGCTTTTTGGACAAAGAATGGGCACGTGCTGAACTGAAATGTGGAGAATAGAACTTTTTGATCTCTGTTGGAACTCTTGATCAGTCAAATAGTTTGAATAACACAAATTGAAGGTCTTCTGAATTAATTTCAACTGTGATGGGGAGTCACATTCTAGACCAACTGTACTGATTGATAATCGAAGTTGTCTAGCATAAGTGGTGTTCGGTCTTTACCAAATCGCTTCTTCATCTAACATTTACAAGTAGCTAGAACTCATTCAATTGAGTTCTAGTATGTACAAAACAATTAATGTTAAACATTTGCGAGTAATATGGTTAAATAAAGCATTGAATGAAGAATTTAAATTTGGAGCAGCTCCATTCCGAGCTTTTGGAGGTCCTATTGGCGTGGAGAAGGTTTCTTGGAAGCCTCCAGTTTGTCGGGTGGCCATCAGAGCGGGCGAGGAGATGGGGCTGGCTGAGGTGGACTACAACACAGACACAACTATTGGTGAGAAATGAATACTTTAATATTGAACTCAATACATGTGCTCCCAAACATTGTTAAAATACTGAATAGCACATATGAAGTAAAATCATTATTACGTGAAATGTTCAAGATTATCTAACCTTATACGATTGTGTGCAGGACACCTAATGTTGTTGAGGCTGATGTTAATTAATCAACCGATATTCATTTAGAGTAGACTATGGACGTTTGTTTGTTAATATACTTTAAATAAAACTTAATTCTCCAATCTCAACTAAATACTTTTATCGTTACTATGTAACTCTTCTTATATTAGTGTAAGGATTCATTTCAGTTGAGGCTTCCATGAAATCGAAACATCCAAATATTTCTAAATTTTACCTCTAAAATGGATTTTTCTTCAAACAGAATTTGTTTCATAATAACTGTCACACTCCTTGCAAATAATCGTCATGCCTTATTTTTCAAATCCATGAAGTTCGAAATGAACATGTAATCCTCTATGCTTAAACAGAATTTTAAAACTTCCTAAATTCTTTAATAAATTCCTAAAATTTGCCTTTTATTTAAGATGAGTAGTTAACTCTCCACGTGTGCAGCTTAGACAATTTTGTTGCTTTTTAACATTTAAGGGTATAATAAATGTAACAATGAAGGCAGAAAGCAATGGAAGTAATCAGAGTACTTTTCTCTCTGAGCACTATTGACGTGCTAATTTTCTTATAACCATGCTTCATATTTTCACCTTTCAGGCAGCGCTATCTTCCAACTCACAACCAAAAACAGAGAACGGGTGACCACAGCAGACGCATTCTTGTTGCCTGGCCTACGACGTCGGAACCTTAAACTGCAAATCAATTCCCAAGTAATTAAGGTAAGAAATTTCGCGCAACTAATGCAGTCATGCAGATTATTCCTTTGAACATACGATAATAGAGGTGCAGTTGGTGGTATACTTGCATCTTCAAGCAGATATGGGATCGAATTTAGAGAACCTATATACACGTGTCTTAATGTGTTTAATTTATATCACGTATATTTATTATTTAACTTAAATCGTTACGAGATACAGCAAATGATTATCAATGTCGACTCAATAGTAGGCAAACCAAAAAAGTTAAAAATTGCATGATTTAAGTTATTGCACTTTTTCATCAGCTGAACTAATATTGGTCACAAACATTACTGGTAATTGTTGTGTAAAGAGAAAAAGTAGAGGGACAGCCGCAGTATTAATAAGAGTTGTGGATTCGTTACCGCGCATACTAATGCAATGATGAATCTAAGCGCTAATTAATCGGGTCTTTTCGCTGGAATGAGAATTGATTATTGATGTCGTTTGGGAACTTGTCTGGAACTATAGGAATGTTGAAATGTATTTGAAATTATAATGGCACGCATCTGTTTTGAAATCAGCTCTTGTTATGTACTTAAATTTGCTGAAACTTTTTATTAACTTTATTAATTGATACAAAGTATTTTTACTCCAACCTAGATACTCATGGATGCTGAAAATCGGGCAATTGGAGTGAAATATGTTCATAAAAATAAGGTGAGGAAATAGAACAAAATAATGGTATTCTCTTCTGAACTGATATTTAAAAGATGTACCAGTATGTCATCGCATATGTAGCTCAGGCAATCATTTGATTCCAAATTTTCCTAAAATTTTGATTAAGTGACAATAATGGCGCTAATTTTTTTAATAAATTTCAGTTCTTCTCTGATTTTTAATTATTTATTCTTCAAATAAAAATGAAGGATAGGGAATTGATGATTATACGAGGGTCATCCGGAAAGTAGTACCCGTTAGAGAATTGAACAAAACGAAGTAAATATTATCAAATGTAAACATGTTTATTGAACAGAACATGTATTACACTACTTCTCTACATAATCTCCGGACAAATTTGAGCATTTGTCGTATCGTGTCACGAGTTTTTGTATACCAGTGTCATATTACTCCGCCGCTAGTGTTTCTGGGATCGGCAGGGTGTACTGCTCATCGATTTCATGACCCGTGGAGACACAATCAATGCCAATGCATATTGTGCAACATAAAAAAAATTACGGCGGGCAATTCAAAATCGACGGCGAGGTCTGTTGACTACTGGCGTCATTCTCCTGCACGATGATGCCAGGCCGCATACAGCTCGGATAACACAACTTCTCCAAAAATTCAAGTGGGAAATTTTCGACCATCCACCCTACAGTCTGTACTTGGCTCCTTCAGATTTTCATCTGTTTACGAAACTCAAGGACTTCGTGGCAAGGACGAAGTTTCAAAATGACGAAGAACTGAAAGAACACGTGACTGCGTATCTCAATAAACTGGCGGCGGAGTAATATGACACTGGTATACAAAAACTCGTGACACGATACGACAAGTGCTTAAATTTGTCCGTATATTATGTAGAGAAGTAGTGTAATATACGTTCTTTTCAATAAACATGTTTACATTTGTTAATATTTACTTCCTTTTGTTCAATTCCTAAACGGGTACTGCTTTCCGGATGACCCTCGTAGATGGCATCGATGATTATAGATGGGGCGTGGTACCCATGGGCATCGATGATTATATTAAAGATGGGCGTTGCATCTATGGTTATAGGTGGCGTAACGATGGGTGGCCTCTTATGCAAACAATCGATAGTAAAGGCCACATCAGGCCTACATTTCAGCGCCGAGATCACTATGTTAATAAATCGAGAGGCCATGCTGTCTGGGCCACCGATAATCAATCAACATAATTTGTGCAAAATTGATCAAAATCAAATTTGTGCAACATAAAAAAGTTATTAGGTTGCAGGTCATTCAAGATTAAGACAAATCCATGACCTCGTTTTGTGAGTTTGGCCATTAAGATTTAGCGTGTATTGGGTAGGTACGTGAAATAATGACAATCAGAAGCATTGCGTGAACAAAATTTTCACTGGGCCTGCGTGTACAGAAGCCACTGGGCATGTATCAAACATTTCCTGATATGAACTTCTCGAGAAACAATAGAAAATATTTAGCAAAACATACAGTTTTTTAAAAGATGATAACTATTCAAATTTTTCCTGTTCACTCTTTTTATTTGGTGCGAATTTTGCATAAAAATTGTATGGACCGATCAAGTGTGTTTCATAATTTTTATAATATTCATAAGTTGCCCCATGTAAAGCCATGTTAGGGAATCGACAGCCGCAGATCGGCCTCGATCTGAGCGAGTATCGAGTTCATACCTGGCGTGATTAGAGAATATATTTGTTTAAGGAAATTTCGTTTTATTGAGAAAAAAATTTGGTTTATTGTTCTAAACTGTGATAATGATGGATGTCGTCCTTTTATTCCTATTTGCATATAATCGTTGTACGATCTTTGCCCGCGCTATTTCTTGAACTGTCCGCTTTAAAGCTCACGGCAAACTATCAATCTTAAATTTGTCCTCGGAAGAGTTTTCTTCTCATAAAAAAAAAACACTTTAAACTGTCATGTTGGTTGTACTTGATTTTACGTTATCCGAGTGGTCAAAGAGGCGCATAGAAAGTTCTCTACTACTACTGGCAGTGCGATTCAACAAGGAGAAAGACACACACATTTATCTCAAACTTCATATACTAAAAAGGGCACTATATCCTACACCTAGTTACAGATTTAGGCACGGTGACAATAACGAGAGCCCAGGCTTACTTGTCCGAAAGAAAATCCTATCCTATACCGGGCTGGCATGAGACAACAAAATGTTGACAATGTTACTAACAGACACGGAATCAAATGTAATTAGATCGTGAGGACTGAACAAGGTGGCTACACGAGAACGCTATATTTTATCAACTTAACATGGGTACATCACCGCTTAAATGCCGCGAATCCATCTGATCTCTGCCTGTGAGACTGGTGATTTTCGGCTCTTGACGAAGCTCTTTGGGCGAGGGTTACTGGAGACGTCTCCTCGACGACAGCCGGCGGTCTTATAATACGGCTATAGTAGGCTGGACGCTCAATCGGGGTGTATTTTCTTCGCTGGAGTTCAGGCAACTTGCAGGCCACTCTAGTGAATCCAGACTCTATTCGCAGGTTGATTGACTTCAGGGATAGACTATCTTCGTCGATACGTGGTGTTCAAATAGTTGCAGGACTTTCAATCGGGGTGTATTCTCTTCGCTGGAGTTCAAGAAACTTGCAGGCCACTCTAGTGAATCCAGAATCTATTCGCAGGTTGATTGACTTCGGGAAGAAACTATCTTCGTCGATACGTGGTGTTCAAATAGTTGCAGGACACGGCGTGTTAAATGGTCTCTTCTGACAGTACTTCGAGGCTCACGATACTTGCGATAAACGGCGTGTTAAAATGTTCTCCCTGAACGGTACTCGAGGCTCACGATACTTGCGACCACTTGCGTCCACGATACGTCTGACTGCCTCGAACACCCGAACGTGACTACCCGCGGTCGGCCCGCGCTCTCCCTTAAATACTGCGCCGGTCTCGCGCAGCGCTCTAGCTAGGCGGTTCCGAGCTCCTCCCTCGAAATCTCGAGTTTATGTCTAACCTCAATCCCTAATTTTATGTAAAATTTATTCCTATTCCTATTCCTAATCATCCCCTCAAGAACCCTAAAAAAAATAGTGTCGGCTAGCCTACAGTATTTTTTTTTTCTTTATATCATTCAGTTTCAACTCATAACCTGAGCACAAAACTCGCTTCCTAACAATTAACTTGGTCAATTGTCCTTTCAGCACGCCCGTGTACATCTTCCCTTAACTCTTCTCTCGACAACTCATATCCTCTTAATATCATCACCTATCCTTGCTATCGGTCACTATCCGGCACACTCATCTTTCCCCCCCCCTTTAATTACTTCGATTCATCTGACTATTCAACCTTAGCAGGCCGTAACTGTTTCAGACACTCCTGTCTCCTTCCCTTCACATCCTATAATTTACAGAAGGAATTATAATTTAATCTATTTTCCCAGAAAAATCTAGAACAGAACACCGCTCCTAACATTCGGATGAGAACTATTCTAGCTTGAATCTTCCTACTCCTGATTGACATTCTTCAGATACAGAGGTACATACAAAACCGAAAAAAAAAATGATTACAATCGCATCACACAAAAAAAAATATAATACAATATATATATACCTATTAAATCTTACTCTAAACTTCCTATCACAAAAAGAAAATAAAATCGACATCAACTCATTAAAATTTGCAAATATAGCCTGGAACATTGAATTTAACTAACGGCAGCAACCACCCGCAGTCCTGGATGTTACTTTGGATGTGCTTCCGTCCAACAAGAAACGATGAGAAATTTTTTATAGGTTTTGTGCTCTTCACTCGACAGTTTATTTTTTTCTTCAATACTTTTACCGCCCTATAAGGTCAGAACACAATCAATACATAATTAACAACAAAACAAATAATCTCACGATATCTAATCGAGGAGAATTTAAAGCACCTTGCCTCCTTAAGCAATGATGGTCAAAAAAAGAAAAATCTAAAATAACACTTTCAGAATAAACACTCTAATTGACATCCTAAAGGCACAAAATTATTACGCAAAAACACCAGAGAGAGAAAAAAAAATGCATCAGCAAAATTTGTTACACGAAAATAGGAAACGAACTTCTTAACGCAAAAAAAAATGCAAATATTTTTATTGCGCACGTAAAAGAAAATCACAAAGTGTATGTAATTTCAGCCTATGAATCGAGCGTTTTACGTATTAATATGCAACCTTGGTGAGGGAGAGAGAAAAGTAAGAATTCTACTGGCATATATTCTCAATCCTTTGCAAATTACTTTCAACGCGAGTCGCAAAATTTTCCACCACAATGACACAAAAATAAAACTCATAAAAAAAAACAAACTTCTTCTCGCTAAAAGAAATGCTCCCCGTCTGAACCCCGTAAATTATGCATTATCTGTACCCAGTATCTCAATTAGTTTAACACTTTGAACTTCTAAGAGAACATTTTAGTATTACAGTACAACACCACATTGACTCGGAGTCGCTGCACTATATATACGGTCAATAATTTTTTTTTTGAGATACATCCCAATTTAATGATTTCTTGCCATGGAATTATTAGTACACAATAGAGACTAATTTCAGTAGAATTTGACACATCAAGAAAAATAAAAATGAGATTGTACAAAATAAAATGAAGCATTCTGCGTCAACCTGTTAGCTTCAAACTTCTGAAATCTTACAGTTGGAGGTTGAACAATCTATTTGTATCACATCGTTAGACATCCGCAGCGTTTAATTCAATTACATTAACCAAATCTCCTTAACGTTAAACATCGTTCGGATAAGTGTCAAAAATGAAGATACACACATCAGCAATTTCATCAATAGGCGAGTCTCATTACAAACACTTCGAGCAAGGTAAGTAAGTGCAGCTTGCCGCGTCGTGAAAGTTTTGCACTGATAGCCAAAAAAAAATGATCGGTGACTTGATGTTGAATTCTTTACGTTAAGTACGAGATCAATTGTCGGCATGAATCAAGTTCTTCTGAAGTCTTTGAATAGAAAATTTCCACGACATGATCAAACGTCAGAAAATTAAGATAGCTTATAAGTTAGCGTATACATCGTAAACACAGACGTATTCATAAGCAACTCAAAAAAAAAATTCCCCCTAAAAATCCCCATAAAAATGGAATAATACCTTACTACAAAGAAAAAATTT